CAATTTGTTGAAAACGACCTTACAAAAAATTATGGAAGACAATCCAATCATATTAAGAAAGAACCCTTTTAGACAAAATAGTAATACCAAAAGTACTAAAAAAGTATATACTACAAAGAAACCACAGAAAGTTACTTACAAATGCTCAAATTGCGAAAAAATTGGGCATAGAAAAAATATGTGTCCTGGACTTGTTAAGAAACCTAAAAAGCTAATAATGTTTATCAGAGCGAACAAGAAAATTCAGATGATGAGGTAGTGATATTGGAAGATGACGAAGACGAAGAGGAAGAACAAATGGTCTCTGATAATGAATCACAAAATTGTTTTAATTTAAAAAAAAAAGTCGGATTCCTATAAAGAAGAAGCTTACTAAGAAATCTATTGTTACTTTAGAACAGGAAGTATTTCTTGAATCTCTTAAATATATAATTTCCGAATTAATACTTAATTGTCCTAGGGAGATTCTCATTGAACTTCTTACATTTCTTAATAATTTGTTTATAAAAATGAAGGACCAATTCGATTCATATTTTAGTGAAAAATATACATTCAAGGAACGAAATAAAGTATGGAGATTATTGCGAAAAAACATTTAACTATTTTCCAACCCTTTATTGAACTTGTTAATAGGCAGACCTCAAACTCTTCAAGTTATAAAGATATGAATCAAAATTATGACTTTGCACCTTATCCAAATATTTCAGAAAACACTGAACTTCGCTCTTTAAATCACGCAATTAAAATATATCAAGGAGCACAAATAACCCGAAATTGACCTAATCCTTTTGAGGTTGATTTCTCAAACTAGAACCTAATGATATCGCAACCATTTTATGTAGAATAGGTGGCTTAATAATAGTCCACGCAATTCTAGATACCGGTGCAGATTCTTCAATGTTTACAGATAACATTCCTGAATATTTAGGGATAAAAATAGATAAGAATAATGTTCACAAACTTACTGGTGCAGTTGGAGATTCCCAATCTATTGGTACTTCATATAATTTTCCTATAACCATAGGCACTGGAGAAGATTCTATAACAGTTCCTGAAAATGAATTATCTGTAGTCCCCACAAAAAAGATCGAAATGGAAAAGATATATCTATAATGATACTTGGTACAAATGGTAACATCGGTCGGGTGGGATCCGATAGTGAAAGGAGAATTTACAGCTACACAATGGAAAGACCATTACAATTCCTCTTTCTACTCGCAAAGAATCACGCAATTCATTTAATAAAGAAAAATGGCACGCACCAGAAGGTTTTAAACTATCAGGTTCTATTACTACTGAAGAAGTTAAAAAAAATGCGATGAACTTGAAAAGCGACTCAGAAAGACTGAAGAGTGGCTTGATATGGCTTTAAAAGCAGGTAAAGTTCTTGCAGAAAGATGTTCTCAACTTACTGAGACAAAGATGGAAGAATAGGAGCTAATCTTTTAGTATCTTTCATTAATTTCTCAAGATCGGATTTTCTCTTAGATGTATTATCTATAGAAGAGACACTTTTTTTTACTACACGTGAGGAAGTAGAACTTTGAATCTTTGATCGTCCCATCTCTGGTAAAATTTCAGAGTGATTCACATTAGTCGAGAGGCTAGCTTTATAGCTATTTATATTAGATGAATTATTGCCGAAGCCTGGGACTTAGTGGCTGATATATTATTTATTTCATATGATTGAGGTATAGGTTGATCCCAAGCGACCCTATTAGCTTCCTCTCTCCAGATCTGATAAATCCGTTTTGTTGATGTTTTATATTTATCTAATAATTCCTTTAAAATTTTGTATCTTGGCTTTATATTACGACATTGCATTATATATGAATAATCTTCGGCTGAAAACAAAGGTGCATCAGATTTTATACGTACTCTAACCATAGTAATAAGTATAATTACTTTGTTTTTTATCTAATAAAATATATCGAAAAAATAAAAATTATAAAATATATCAGAAAAATAGAACACATCAAATACAGTATATAGGATTATATTATTTATTTAATACATACGGTCAACTCTCGACAAAAGAAACCGTGCACAATAGTCTATATTAGTTAATGATCAATGCTTAATTCAAAAAAAAAAAAACTCTTTCCCGCAGATCCTAAAATTCTTAAAAATTTCATTTTTAGGCAATTTTTTCTAAGAAACAAAAAAGCGCATGGAAGAGATGAGTTTTCATAGAACCCTTTGCAGTTCCAAAAATAATACAAGACCCAACTACAATGAGAACCTTCTGGCAAGAGGTAATGCAAGAAATCTTCAAAAAGAAACCAATATGAACAATGAAAAGACAACAACCCTAGACAAGAGTAAAGAACTTGAAAAACTAACAGAAACCATTCAAAACCTCCCCACAAATGAACAAGTAATCCAACAATCCATAGTTAACTATTAGAACTCTCAAAACCATAACGAACAGGACACAAGCAGCTCAGCATCGCAAATATGAAGTGATCAGATAGAAGTAACAATTATCACTGGAAGCAGACCATGCTTCAAGAAAGCACACAGAGAGGGAATATCAGATACTCAACAACACATCCACACACTAACAAGAATTGATGACTCCGACATAGAAATGTATGATGAAAGAGAGGAAGAATTAGATCAAGACCTAAATAAGAAAGATACTGAAGAAATATGACAAGTCTAGAGTAACCAAAGAAGAGGCCGCCCAAGACCAAGATCACCTTTTGATAGAGCAACAAGATATGGCAAGGAAAGATTCAAAGCAGGAATTATAGCAAGAGACATCCTAGGCATTACTACCGGCCAAAAGATCACATACTTATCCAAAGCTTTAAATAGCTCAGAAAGTCTTTTCAATATTCGCAAAGAAAAAAAAGAGGGCATTGGCCACATCACTGCTTTATTTGGAAAGAAAAAGGTTGTAAAGGAGGCATGCAACTTAATCTTACCAAATACAGATCAAAAAAGATTGACATATATGACAATCATATTAACTGAGTTTAAAAAAGAAAACAGTATCAGGGTATGTGACATTCCCCTGACCACAAAATTTATAGAAGTACAATAAACCTTTGCTAGATATGGATAAATTACCAACATATCAATGTATACAAGTCAAATGTGACAAACGCCAACTATAACTTTCAGAATAAGGAAGTTAAGGAACAACTAATTCAACAATACAGTATATTAATCAAAGGAGATATAACAAGAATAATGAATACATAATGAAATAGACAACAAATGACTGAGAGATTTCAATATGTTACAAAACTTACTAATCTCCTATCAAACACCAATGCTTTCGATCTAAAGAATGTATATCAACAACTTTAAGCAAAGTTATGTTACATTCCCACAGAATAAAATATACCAGAAAATGATTCATGGTTATATCTTTCAAATCTGAAAACAAACTCAAAGAAAGTTTAGGACAAGAATTCATTATGTGAGAAACTACTATTACAGTCAAGTTGATGGAAACTAAACTCTGCTCTATCTGTGATCAAATCAATCATCTCCTGGCACAATGTCCCATTAAAGAAAAAAGAGAACAATAGTCATCATATAACAAAGAACAGGCTTCAAAATTTGGCAAATTTTACTAAAAGTTCAAACCTGCTGGCACTCAACATATCAGAAACATAGCAAGTAAAGAAATACGTACATAAAGACCAAGACCAGGTTCATATGCAGCAGCAGTAGCAATTAATCCTAGAACCAAAACTAAAAAACAAAATGGTCAGAAGCGAGATCCACTAGACAAAATCCTCAACATATTACAACAAATACAAGAAGACATCAAAGAAATCAAATCATCAATTGAAAAACTGGATGAGAGAATTATATATCTCGAATAATATGAGAATTATAATAATGACACAATAGAAGATGACACACAATAAGCAACAAAGTGGACAACCCCAATACAACAAGCTCAGCCTCTTCCACTAGCATAATACCTGACATTCAATAAAGACAACAAGAACTTCATAATTCAATTAACAAAATAGACTAAAACATGAGTAATATTCTATCTGCAATTAACACTCTGGTTCCGAACAACAAACAATCCTCAATATATAAACAATAATATATAGTTTAAATAGTATCAACAAATTA